GTAAAATCTTGCAAAATTTGATGATCTCAGGACATTTTGGCTATACAGTGGTACCTTCGGTTACGAACGCCTCTGCTTACGAACTTATCGGGTTGCGACCAGAGTCACGGAACGGATTAAATTCGTAACCCGAGGTACCACTGTATAGAGTTGCTTTTCAATTTAGTTTGTTTTTGCCCACACCAGAAACTAATTTTCGCAACCACGACTGGTCTCCAAACCATAGGCTGGAAGCCATTGAGCTAGCAAAGATCTTACTTAATAACTGTTGAAAAAGTAGGTTCTAGTTACTTTACTAAAATGAGCTTAAATAATGCCTTCTTCGTACGCAGATATCTGAAGTCTGCAAGATACAACTATAGGGGCAATGTTCAAGCTGCTGTTTGAAGCTGTTAAAATGTCTATTTTCTTTTGCAGGCTCAAGTGAGAATGAGGGGAGCTGGGCTTGGAGCAAAAGGTAGTTCTTACGGTGTTTCTACAGCTGACTCATACAAAGATGCAGTACGGAAAGCTATGTTTGCCCGATTCACTGAAATGGAATAAGTTTTGTCCATATTGGAAGCTTAACATTTCACTCTTCTTCCAAACTGACTGTTAAAACCTTTAAGGCCTTGGAGGCACTGCAGTATATTAGTTGTGGGTTGGAGTTAATCACTTCTGTTTTAGGTTTTCCTTTCCTTCCAGCATGCAATGCTTCCCTTGGTACATGATAGATCATAGAACGCAAGCACTGTGGCTTCATGTTGGAAGAACCCCAACGAATTAAAAAGAAGATACTGCATCTTTATACATTTCTGTAAATAGTGTAAATTAATGTGTTGTGTTCAGAGTTTTGTGTAATCTAAAAGCCACTTCTGTCCTGTGGAGCAGTTGAGGAAGTGTTAATATGATTTGACACTGCTGTACTCTGCTTACTTTGTATTGTTTCTCATTTTTGGCAAAGTTTCCTGTACATTTTGTAAGATATGTATTTGTATAGATTTTTTGAAGATTTTGATTCTAGATGCCAGTCCAGACTTCTTTCGAAAAGAAATAAAGCCTGAACCAAACTTGGTTTCTCCATAGGGAAGGTGGGTTTATTTTGTGATGTGAAATAAATGAGTTTAATCATAAGCAGAAAATCAGGAATGAGCGTGGGGACCGGCTTGGTCTTGATCAACAGGGGTGCTGTGCAACAAAATACAGTGCTGGACCAATGAAACTAGATAGAAACTTTAATCATAGAAAAGTTACATGTAGAGACAGAAGCAGCAGATGCAGCAGACTTGTTTTTCCTCTAAGCTGTGGGGGATCTCATTTAGAGCCTGTGGTACCCTTGCTCTTCCCATAGGAAAATGAGATGTAGGGTTGCTAAATAGGCTGCATCTGCTTGGCCTCCTGGGAGAGGCTGGAGGTTTGGGGCTCGATTTTCTTCAGGGTGTTCATTCAGTCTGAGCTGGGGTGTGCAATGACCCCCCCCTTGGAGACTGTGGTCAGATTCAGTATTCCCCATGCACAGGTAGTTTGCAACATGACAGTTTTAAGAAGAGATTACTGTACTTCAGTCAGGAAAATTACCATTTTCCCCCCCTCTGAAGGGTGCGGGCCTCTTTTGGCTTCTGGTGGATGATTGATTGGTTTTTATTCTTTGGAGTGTGGAGGATGCTGCTACTTCAATATTTTTACTCTGGATGGCATCTGTGGTGCAGGAAAAACTTGTTTGCAGTGCTGAGCCTCTTTAGGAATACAGAGGGCTTACTGCTCCTTGGCCATGCACAAGGTGTATTGATAGGCCCTGAACAACAGTTGATGTGGGAGGATGGTCATGGAAAGGAACCCTGGGTATTCTATTTATTCTACCTTGCTTTATGACAATTTGAGTGGCTCTTCAGTTTCATCTCTAGGTGATTTTGACTCCATTTCTAATATAATTTGGGGCTACTCCGTATAGTGGTTTGCCTTTTGTTATCACTATCCATGGTGTTCCAGCACAGATCAAAGCACCATCAGAACGACTTTCCTTCCTCTACATTATGGTACCATTACAATGTAGGAATAAAAATGTAAATATATTTCTCCAGAACATCACTGTTGCTAGTTTATGCCATCTGAAAGTCAGATATTTCTTTACTTTGTACTTTACTTTCCAAATGCTAATATGCTAAAAAGAAAATGATACACTCAAATTGTTCGAGATTACTGATGCACATCCCCACACATGAACTTTATAGAGCCATGAGCTGTAGCTCATAATTAGATAATGTAAGATATATAGGCTTTGTATTGTCAAAGGTTTTCATGGCCGGAATACGATGGCTGGTGTGGGTCTTCCAGGCTGTGTGGCCGTGTTCTTGAAGTTTTGTTTACTAATGTTTTGCCAGCACCTGTGACCGGCATCCTCAGAGTGCAGGAGCACAGACAGACGCAGTACTCTCTGTGCCCAGGGCGGTGTGTCCCTTTTGTCGGTATTTATAGAGATCTGAGGGGGGGGGATTGGGGGTGTGTGGTGGTGGGGTTGAGGGTGTGTGGGGTTTGGGTTAAGGAGTGGCTGCTTGTTTTTGTGTCAGAAAAACCCCCCCCACCTAGGAAATCCCTAGGGGAAGGGGGAACAAAAAAAAAGATTCTCCAACCTCTTGGGGGGTTCATGTGGTTTTAAA